CGCCTTCCCAACTTCAGTAGAAGGTTCATATTAAAACAAACTGTTTCTTTTGTTGTATCAAACTATCTACTCAAAATTTATCGTCTTTTCATTTACACCATTATGATTGAGAGTATTTTGTGCTGTGTGCAGTAATAATGCAGTCAGCAAACCTCGTTACGTTAAGGTTGCGTGCTCAAATGTTCGTGCGCGAAAATTACTTCGAGACCATTTTTATATATACATACAGCTCAATGGCGTCAGCTGTCTCATGAACTCAGCGCGGGGTGGTAACTGAACGGATTTTAGTTCACCGCGCTCTATCTTGTCGCATCGTCGTGCATTACGTATAAACTTTACTACTTTTTTAACGTATCGGTTGCCTATTTTTTTCCTAAACATCCAATCACACTTCTACTTTCAATCCTGTTGTCGCCGGCTAACCGGTCAGTGGTTTATCACCACACCTCAAACCCCTTTCGTACTTGAGCCATGCGTAAGGATGATCTGTCACTGGTTTGGTAGTTGATATTTGTAGTTGATAGAGTGCCGATATAAAGATTAGTTCCCCGTCTCGTTTAAAGTAACGTAAATTTTGCAATGCAACTTCAGCACATTTATTTGGTCCCTCGAGCCGGATTTGAATTAGCGATCTAAAGACAAAAAATACTCAGGTGGATGCGCACTTCTATAAGGCAGTTACTGTCCTTGCTTTTTGATATTTTATAAGATCAATTTCTCAACATGAAATTGTACAAATTTCCGATTTTGCTGAACTGTCATTTTGATTGTTCAAAACAGAACAACATTATTTTTACCCCAAGGTATCTTTTAGGGTTGCATTCAAAGAGTAGAAAACACTCTCGCAATATCCGTCCGTCATAAAATCTTGCCACATTTCTTTATACTCATAGATTAATGCATTTGTTACATTAAGCTCTTATGAACAACAACATACAAATTTCCTATGCCAATCTCTGCCCAAATATCGAGACAATTTCACTTTGACCTTCACAATCCAAATTGTCATAACCTGTATGCTTGAACATAACAGATAGTTTAAAATCAGGATTTTCAGTAATTCGTATAGCATGATCGTCTACCGGTTAAGGCCATTTTCGATTTTTCCCTTGGGATATTAAAAGTTTAGCACAGGTGTCAGGGAAGGGTCACATCATCTGATTTCCAAGGGTCATCGGAATAGAATTTCTCCCAACATCATCTTGAGGTAATTAAGTATTAGTTCGTGGTACCGGTGATCGTCTAGGCAAGGGCAGTTCTAAAAAGATCTATTTTTCACTAACAAAACTAACCTCGCCCTGATGTTTCTTAATAGGGTCAAAGGAACACTTAAAAAAGCTCGAGAGAAAATGTTAGTTGAGCCTATTGATACCCATATATTCTATTACATCATAGGCTTGTGTGTGTAATTAATTTATTGAAGGTTTTTCCTCTTCAATTTTTTTTTACATTTGCATCGTAAATGGGTAATTCCGAATTTACGATTAATAGTATTTTATACACAAATTTAATCAATCGCTCTCCGTAAAATTTAAACTGTCCGCCTGCATTTTTGTAAGCGGTCGATATTTTGCGAGCTGTTGTCATTGCGTTTGGGTACTCAGTAATATGTTCCTAGTTAATTTTAATGTCAATTGTTGATCGTAGCTTCTCGGGAATTCTCCACCGTCTTGGATCTTCGGACCAATTCCTTCGCGGCCTCCGAACAGATTTCTTGCGTTTGACGGCAAACGCGGTCTAGTGATTGATACACCTGAAGAATAGGAAAATCGAATGCAATCAATATTAACCTCCTGACTTGGAATATGCATGTTACTTACTAAGGCCCCGCCCACACGTATCCGGCTATTTTTGAATCCGCAACTTTTCCTTTCCGGATTCAAAATTTTCCCCGTCCACACGTAGCGTATTCAAATCGAATTCGCCTGACAACACGCATCCGATGGTATCCGGATTCACTCTAGAGAAACTAGGACACTATTCTGCTACGTCATCGGATTCGAAAATTCACCGTCCGCACGTTATCGGATTCGTTGCGGATTATTTTTTTCCACTCTAGAGATCGGATTCAAAAACATCCGGTTTCGCTGTCGAATTCGCCGGATGCGTGTGGACGGAAGCCGTATCCGGAAAGAAAAAGTTGCGGATTCAAAAATATCCTGATACGTGTGGACGGGACTTAAGTATTCTATCAAAAGAACTGAGCACAAGCATGCTTCTCCCAAGCACTTGTAAATGGCAACATAGTTACAGTGTAAACTTTTGCAGCACTGAATGAGAAACTTTGTAAAGTGGTACAATGTATTCCCAATGTTGATGCAGCATGTTATACAAAAAGAAAATTTGACACAAGCAGAAACGTAGTCTGCATCCGCGTTTTGATATCCAGTTCAGTCTTAATACAAGGTTATTTTCTTTCACTAATGCTTAGAACTTGCGCTTCTAGAAGTATAAAAGTACTTTTTAAAGTAGGAAAAAGTTGTTGAAAAGTAAAGTGCGTTGGCATAAATAGGCGGTCGTAAGCAATTAATCATTTGTCAAATGTTTCTGCAGAAGCAATGACAGCTGAAAGTGACATGATAAGCCTGCGGCTGCGATCGGTCTTTTTCGGCTGCTACTTCATATCACCAAAGTTAAGTAAATATTATAATTTCTCTCCTGGTTATTATACTCGCAGGCTGGAGTATTATCGGACAAGATTTTTTTTTACATTGGCAACAATCATGGTCAAATCTAGAATCATTAAAATTATCTGTAGTGATCAGTTGTTAGGCGCACAGAGACAAATTTCCTTGCCAGTGACTTCTTTATTCTCATCACCTTTCTTCATAACATTTTAGAAATAATATAAAGAGAAACTAATTCTCGATCAGTCTGTGTGTAAACAGTGTCTGGCAAATAGAGCGGCATCGAAATATCCGTTTTATGTTCGAGCAAATTCAAAACTTAACTGAAGCAGACAATTTTTTTGAAGTATGCATCCTTGAAGAAATACAGATTAATAGTGTTCAATAATTCATTGGTCAGCTTTTAGCATAACCAAAACGAAGAATAATTAGTTTATTTCAATGCAAACTTTGGTTTTATTTTCCTACAAAAAGATGTCATGTAAAAGATTAAAAAAGCTTCCCTGCCTTGCTAATAGTATTTTTCATTATAATTTGTGAATTTCTTATAATTTCTGCAGCAGTTTTCTTTTGTTTTTCTTTTGTTTTTCAGCTTTATTCCGCTGTCAAGACTCCATATTTCAATCACTGAGCTGCTATCTACCGTAGATACATTAATATTTTGAAGTTTAACGTATTAACGCACTGAGTCGATATAGTATAAAGTACAAACCGAACTACTGTAATTTTCTAAGCTTCGAATATTGTGACAATGAATTGTTTAACATTTTAGCCGTACGTGAGGCTCCTAAAATATGGCCTCAGTGAAGAATCCTTTGTACTTTTTCATTGTATGTTACGTTTTGTTTCACTGAGTTTTAATTTAAAGCCAATATTTAATATAAGCCAAGGAATGTAGTATGTCTGAAATGAAGTTGTACCAAGTTCGTTAAAAGAACACCTGTATTTTAAAGGCGGAAAATTTCTTATCTGAAAAAATTGAAAAAATTCGGTTGAACAGTCGAACATCTTGTTTAGAAATATTAGGAAAAGTTGGGATTTTGCAAAGGTTGATAGCCTCTTAAAATTACATTTCACTTGAAACGGAAGAAATAAAATATTTCTATGAAATCTCGCACTTCGAGCCTTAAATGAAATTTTTCTTCAACTGAGATGAAATGTTACTGGAAAGGCTTCGCTAACGTTTTTGTTAAATCTTGAAAATTATGAAGAGGATAGCAAAAGAGAAATTAAAATCACTTAATATGACTTACACTATAAATTTCTACTGTTCAACAATATTTCTTCTTTTTAAAACCAGCAACTGTAAAACGGTAAGCCACCGAGGCTAACAAACATTAATAACTCACCTTGTTGAACTGTCTTTTTCCTACGTTTCCGATCCCTGCAGTAAAACACTCAGATTCTGAAAACAAAGTTACAGTAAAAAACAGGACAAGGAACATCATGGCTGCCTTCATCTTGTTGGTTGATGTGGATACACTGCGAGGTGATGGCTTGATTGACCCGAGCTGGAATGGTCGTAGAAATGTGAAGATTACGAAGTTGTCGGCTTCTTTTATAACGACATATCGAGGAAATTGGCGTTGCATTCAATAGAATTAAAACACTGTTTGCTCACAATTATTCCATCCTTGTTAAAGAAAGGAAGAAGAAAACTCAGTTGTCTTCATTAGCTGCTTCTCATCTAGCGCGTTTCCGCAAGCCTTTCTTCTTCGAGAGGTAATTTGAATAGCGCAAATAGCTTCCGAAAGTAATGGCGGCCTCTTTTGATTGGTCATGGTCGATCTCAGGTACATTATCCCAAAGCGATAATTAGAAAATTACAGAAAGTACCGCAATAGCTTGCGTGGAGTTTTGCTGTCGACGGAAATTACGAAACTCTAAAATGATTCCACAGACTTGTTAGTGAACGAGAATTATTGTTAAAGTAAACATTGAACAATTTGCTTTTGTGTTTTTCCGGAAAGCTCTTAAAGTATTCGGGTAAAGCCTTTTAGATATGTTATCTGTAGCAGTCAAAATGTAATTGACCAAATAAATACCTGGTTTCTTCGTACACGGAATAATGTTTGCATAATTTTTTCAGATGTTTAATTTATTTTAAAGTCAATGTAATTATATGGGATGATAATCCCAGAGAGATAGGAAACTTTGCCGCCCCTCTGTCGTAAAACGTCTCTTAAAAGTTGGTTTGGCTTTCTATTGTTTTCAGCTCCTTTTCAATGCCAAGCAGCATTTTCTATTAACCTCCCCCGATTTCGCCGACAATATTTCCTAATTACTTTGGCCTTGACAACTCCGAATTCGCCCACTTCTTTCTCAAAATCAGGAAGAAATTGCCTGAACTTAAAACTTTCGAAAACTAGACACGAATCTTGATCTTATCTCTTTCATTCCAGGAAGTTAATTGAAGATTCACTCGTAAGCAACGGTTAAAAATGTTCAGTGAAATGTTCGAACGTTCTCAGATCACAAGTTTGTATCGGTAAAGTTTGATTTTGAATTTAAAGGTTCTAAATTTAGCCTCAAGACTTTCCCTCGTTGATGATTTCAAAATCTTTCACTTGATGATTGCAAAATATAATGTTTCAACGTGAACAAAGCACTACTAGCCGAAAACCGTGTTTCTTAATATTATTATTGTTACTGTTGCGCTTGTTTATCATCTGTGATTGAAAATAAACTCATTTTCAAAATCAAAATATATATTTGTTTAATTGACAAGATATCTCACTTGGTGTAATAAACTTTATATTAGTTTTATCATCTGAAAATCGCCTGACTGCTGGTCACTCTTTGTTTAGCTCTTTGGGAAACTCTAATTTATTCGATCCGAACTATCTCGCGGAGATAATAACGTGGTCACATTATTATCACAAAAACTTTACCTCCGCAAAAGGCTTACTTTTCAATTGTCATTTTAAACTCTTCTG